CGTAACTTTCACTTAGTTTAGAGATAAATTACAATACAAAGCGACTGAAGTAACTTACAGTAGCAAGTCACGTGTGATTGGAAGATAAGTGTATAGTGTATACAATAGATACACCATACATTGTATAATCACTTCTACCTTGTATAAATAAGTTGATTTAGCATAAACATTTTGTATAGTAACAAACCTTTAACAAATCTTAGAAAATAAGAATTCATTTGCAAAACTATTACCTTTCGGGTTTCAATCCATAACGTAGACTTATATAAACATATAGCATTTAAATATGAATAGATAGCTACAGTAGTAGGTAGATTTTTTATTCATATTTTTTATTATGTAATTAATAAACAATTTTTCGGAAGGGATAATTATTTTTATTTCGTAACTGGAGCTTAAATGGAACTCTTTTAACCTAGAAATTAAGTAATAAATATATTTGTTTATAAATTTATAAAACTTTAGTAAAATTGGATTTGACAATGAGTTCAAATTGATATAATAAAAAAACAATATCAGTGTGAATAGAATAAAATTAAAATTAAACATATCAGAGTATGGCGTTGAAGAATTCAACCTGACAGCGTTCAAAGAGAACTAATTTTTGCTCTGGAAAACTCAAAAGATATCTCTATGGAAATCGGGTAACGTCATTCACAGCTGTTCACATGACTAACCTCTGAAGGGTACTTTAGTGCGGAGCTAATAAAGATACATATAAATCCCGTCAGTAATATTCGTTTTGGAATTGAGTTTAGATTGTTTTAAACATCGAAGAAGATTTTTAATTAGTATTTTTCGTAGCGGGAATGTTTTATAAAGGAGTATCATAGTGCGTTATTTTTGTTTTAGTTTATCTGAAAAAGATTAGACATTCCAACCAAATGTTAAATTTGTAGCTATAGTTTTTATCAAAATCGTCGTAGTTGATGTGAGCCACCTACAGATTGAGCTGATCTAAATTACTTAATTCTGCTGAATACACAAACTTTTTTACCAAGTCAAAGTTAGGGAATGATTTATGGTGGTCTATAGCAACTGTTTTGACCCATAACCTGGTCAGCAACAACAAACAAGGTATAAACTAGAATTTTAGACACTAGCGCATTCTGTGACTGGCTTACACAACTACGTGGCTACAGCTTGTCCATATCATCGATCTCAGTAATAATATAGATCGATAGTCCATATAGATGGGATGTCTACTTCAGTATCCAATAGTCAATGATCTAACTAAACAAAAGCTTGGTTAAATAAGTGGGACCAAAAAGTTGTAATTGAGTATGTGTGTTAGTGTAAATCATAACTATTTTTTGCCATAAAATACATTTATTACTTATAAAGCTGACTGTGGTTTTGATACCAAATAGAACCAATAATTTTGAATGCATTATTAATTTTAGCTCCATTGCCAAGTAACACCAATCACAAAAGGGTTGCATTTATATAATGCCATGACCTAGGGCTATAACAGTTATAATAGATGTATCAGAAAAGGAAAGTTTTCTCTGTATTGAATATTAACTCAGAAAAATACCATTGAATGTATTTTTAAAACTTTATATCATTACGGTTGTATTCTAAATCAGGCGAATTCAATATTCATTTGTTAAATCAAGATATAATACTATTCCAAACAATTCTATTGTCTAGTTGCTTGCAACTTAATTAGTCAACTATGAAATACAATCAAACCCATCGCAATATATTTCCTTGATGTTAGTGTAATTGAGTATAACAGTTGAAGAATGTCATTATATATGATTTGTTGCTTATTAATTTTAAATATAATCAAAATTATGAGATTCGCCAAATTCAGATCTGATTAATCTTGTCGATATGGTAATAAAATTTTAATTTACTATGTAGTTATATGTTTATATGTTTGATGATTTATATTTACCATGACATTTAACGGAGGAAGATATTTATTAAAGAACCATAAGAGAGTTCTCATAAATTGAGTGATCTGTTTTGTATACAAATAGGTGATCGCAGCTGAAGGTGGTAACTACAGTAGAACCTTGATAACAAGACTCTCAAGGGGATTATCAAATAAGACTTGTTATCAAGGTTGACTTCTTATTGAGGTTTGCAATAGCATGTAATTATATGGTAAAATAAATTCTTGGGAGTTTGAAAATAACACTGGTTATCAAGGGTGACTTGTTATCGAGGGTCTCGTTATCAAGGTTCTACTGTACTAATTTAACATTGCACTGTATTAACCCAGGTATTAACCAATAACAAATCAAACACAACTACTTGAAATAGTTTGATAATAATGAAATTACCTTTAAATCTTTTGCACCGTAAACAATAAAAAAACCGAAACACATTTTCCATTTATTCGTATATTGTGTTCAGCTAAGCTCGTTATAAACGCGCAACCCCTTCAAACTTTGCCGCGCTGTTGACTGGCGTAGTTTGTTTCTCGACTATGTATAACTTATGAATAATATCCAGAGCTCCAGTGTTTACAGTCTACCCAAAAACGAACAATTTTGTCGTTGAAATATGTTTTACATTATACCTTTTGTAATTTTATCGAGACGAACATAAATATATTTAAAATACAGTTATACAGGGTGTCCCGGAACTCTCTACCAATATTTTAGGGCATTGCTCCTGGGTAAGAAACATACCTAAATATCATATTTAAATTGTCCGGAAGTCATTAGTTACTCACACAGCCACCATTTTGTTTTTTCAGTTATTAATTTTTTTCTAAAGAATGGTTAAACATACGAAATGGAAACTTTGCACAAACATTAATGACAACTAGACAAAGCTACAAAAAAATTATGACAATTTTTCAAATTCATAAAACAAAATGGCGGCCATTTAAATTTTTTATAAAATCAACGGTTTTTGAGCTATTTAAGAAACAACATTTAAAATAGTCGCCATTTTGTTTTATGAATTTGAAAAATCTTCATAATTTTCTTGTAGCTTTGTCTAGTTGTCATTAATGTTTGTGCAAAGTTTTCATTTCGTATGTTTAACCATTCTTTAGAAAAAAATTAATAACTGGAAAAAAAAATGGCGGCTGTGTGAGTAACTAAGGACTTCCGGACAATTTAAATATGATATTTAGGTATGTTTCTTACCCAGGAGCAATGCCCTAAAATATTGGTAGAGAGTTCCGGGACACCCTGTATAGTAACTTGTGTCCTTAGAATGTATTCAAGTTTTCTTTTATACATTACCATGAAAGAACGATTCATTACTTATTTCCGCGTATTATTATAAATTTGATTATTGATTTGAAAACTCTAAGGTTAAGGTTCATCATTTTGATTACATGGAGCCTAAAAATTATCCCGGAATAACACCAAACAAATTAAAGTAAAAATTTGTGTTTAGATTTACGTTGGGGGTTTTTAAACAACAAGCATTGCAATAGCTTTTGAACATTGCTTTTACAGCATTGGAGGTTGTACTATTTTATGTTAACTAAATTTAAATCAAAATCTTTGAGTGGTTTTGGTGAATATATGATTTTGCGTTATATTTTTGATTGTTGTGGAAAATTACTATTACAAATACAAATTTAAACTTTTTCGGTTTCAGGGGGTCCGAAAAAGGATAAAACGGATATCTCCACCAACAAATCAAAATCTTAAAAAAAATTATCACCATACATGCTTACTATAGGGGGAGAAAGTAAAAGTAAATTTTCTTCATAACTAACTTAAGTCAATACTAACAGCTTAAATGGTACTTAATCTGCACTACTTAGACACTCTAATTAGGTTTGGCTCTGTTATTAATTCGAGTTTAGTTTATAAACAATTAGGTTTTAGTGGGTAAAATTACGCAAACAGTTTACTTATATGTTACGCTACTTCACATGATGTAATGAACTCTTGCAGATTCAAAGATAATCTTACTTTTGGATTTATAATTTGATCATGTTTAACATGTTACTTAATTACATAAGCGCCATTAGAATTATTAACTAAAATAAACATTTATAATTTACTATTTCTACTTTGATTCTATTGTACGTTGGTCATATGTATACAGATTTTTAATCTATGTTTTATTTAAGCTTACCTGATCAGAAAAGCTCTTAAATTTATATAATAAGCTTTAAAGATTTTAAATAAATAAATTCTTTCGCCTAACAATTTTATACTAAGTTTGACAAGCCTTAATTATCTCAAAAATATAAAATATTTTTAAAACTGAGTATTTTATGATTCGTGTTCACCTTTTCGCTAACATTTTTACTAAAATGCACAAAAAATATAATGTATAAATTTTTTATTGTAAATTCCTTCTCAAACTTTATCGTGTTTACTGTATAAACAGGAATATTTACACGAGTTTCATCGTATTTTAACGACAAGCTTACATATTTTTACAAAATAACTTACCAATTCCAGCTAAAATTACGTACAGGAAACGATCAGCTGTAAAAAAATACATTAATAATCCAACACAGTCCGGTTTCAAATATGTTAAATTTAATTTACATGAGCAAATCTTAGTTAGATCAATGAAAGAACTAATTTTTGTTGAACCCAATTGACAACCAATGAAATGAAATGAAACAATAAATTTATTTACACAGGCCAAGTTACAGCCACATGGTCCTTTGTTATACTTAACCTGTACACAATTAACAATGTATACAATCAACCTTTACTCAACAACTCACGGTAATTACCATTACACCATTACCTACTGCCATTAGTTAAAGTCTACAAAATGCTGTCAATTAAACAAAGTACATTTAAACGTTAACTTATTAATAACTAAAATTATGGTTTATTAAAGCTATGTACGTTCCCACTTCATTCTAAGGAGAAAACCAAATTCTAAACAGTGATTATATCGAGAAGGATGGAGTTAGAGGTGTACTCTATATAAACCACTATAAGGGGGGGGGGTGAAGGGGGGGTATAGCCCCCAACCCCCTTAAGGTTAGGGGTGGAAGCTCGGGGAGGTTACAGTCAGTTTATTGGTAAGCTTGTACTCGGTATGGCTACAGCATGAGATCGACCACAGTTTTGGTTACTACGTCCTGTTATGTGCTTACAGGTGAATTTATTTATCTTGAAAAATATTGTTATTAATTTCCATACTTCTAGATGTAAATACAGAGTATTTATTTCCAAAATTTAAAATTAGTCAGTTTTCAAATTTTGGTAGATATTTTTTGCGTTGATATATTTTCAATGATGTAACATAGCGTTAAAATTGCATTTATCGTATTGTTGAAGTATAACGGGGTTAAGCCTGTTTATAAGGCTGGGTTTAGGATGATCAAAAACTTCTTACACAGTATATGAATGGTAAAACTCAACGATTGAGATCTAACAAAAACTGGGTTAATTGTATGTAAAAAATATAAAACTAACATAATAGTTTATTCTACAAGAAGTAATGAACTTAATAGGTAGATATTTTAAATTAAGATACTCTTGACAGTGAACCCCACTAAGCCTATTCATATCTTTAATACTACTTTGGGTACGCCTTGTGGTTGTATATGTATTACTTTAATCTTTATTTTGTACATATAATAGGGGCTTCTTTAGGTCACTCAAATAACCAATCATCAGTATTTATTTATTGGAGACACTAATTTGTTTTATTGTAAAAAACTATATACCTAAGGCATCGAGGGTAAATATTATATTTGTAAGTTTGAATAACCTCGAATCTGATGTAGTTGTTCACCGTCACCAAAATAACCCTAAAACTACATCCAATTAGTAGTAATTACAATTTAAAGCTTATGTTTTTGAATCTTCTAAACCAATTTTTGTGACGAAAAAGCCTTCCAAAGCTGTCAGGTATGGTTAAGCTTTTATATCGATCAAAGCAAATCCAAGGTTTACAGCCATGCTTAAACAATCTCAACTAATAACCAGACATATGCATAGATATATATAGATCGACTTGTCGACTCCAAAGTAAAATTGTTTTCTCACAAGTGTGTACATTTTAATTGCCACTAGAGTAAAAGTTTTACGTTGGTTGTAAAACCAAATTTCAAACAGCAAATCCCACAAAGTTGTTATTCAATGGATAAATTTAATTTTAAACCCACAAACAGACGTACATGGGAATACCAGATATAAGGTGTTCCCTCTTTACAAAACATGTAAAATGTGTTTTAGCGAATTTCCCATATAGGGAATAAGCTATTACCGTAGTACTCATGGTAAGACCTGGACGCGGGACCGATTTTTTTTTCGTTTTGAGGTCCCTAGAGGCCAAAAACACCATCCGTTCAAATTCATATATATATATATATTTATATATTTATATATTTATATATATATATATATGTGTCCGTCAGCACGATAACTCGAGCAAAAATGATCCGATTTTGACGAAATTTGGTACAAACGTGTAAACGTACGTTTATTCGAACGAGTTCGCGATCCAGCATGATCGGACCATGGGAACGGGGGTTTACGGGGGGTTTTATGTGGTAAAAAAAGGTTTTTCCCATTTTTGACCCAAAAAACATAAAATTTAGCAATTTCTTTCCAAACCATTTTGTAGAGCTTAAAAAAACAAATAATTTAGTATATTGAAGCGTTATTATGCGCCTAATGGTTACAGAGAAAATTCCAAAAAATTGTAAATTTAAAATTCCCATGTTATTCTTATGGAGAATAAGTAAACTGTTGTAGTTTTTGCTTGTTTGTGAACATATTTTGATCAAATTTGGAAAATGTTTTTATTTCTTACTAACTATTCACATTTGACAAAAAACAGTTTTACCCTCCCTGATGCAGCAAACCTAATACTTGTTAAACTAGTTCTATTTAAATCTGGAATAAATGTTATATTTTTAAGTAGACATTTCAGTGTAAATCCAATCAGTCAAATGGAAATTCGCTTAGTCTGCAGGTTTGCTGCGGCGGGGGTATTTACCAATGTCATATTAAACACACAAAACACTAACCAACATAAAAGAATAAGCATTGTCTACATTGTCTTAACTTACACTGAAAATACACCAGTTTCCTGAAAACTATATTTTTGATAATGGCGAAAAAAATAATGTATAAAATGCCAATGAAGTAGCTAGAGGGTAATGGAGACATAAGTTATTTTAAAGTCAATGTTTGTATTCTCCCTGTTTCTCTTATACAAACAGAACCACAATACACAAACCATTTAATTTGATTGCACTAATGGATGCAATGTAGAATGGGGTTTGTATAACTAGATAGGAACATTCGCTGAAGCACTCTGCTGACTTTTCACTATGTTGAAGTAATTTGTTATATTACTTACACCGATTTGTTTGTAATTTGTTGTTATATTACACTGTTCGACCAGAAGTAATTTGTTGAAGATATGTAATTTTATGAATTTGGTATATTTCATGTTACTTCTAGCCTTTTCGTCTTTGAATGTGGTAAGAAAACAACATGATAAAAATTTACTTTACATTACCATATTAGCTAGTTATACTAAAAATTATACACTCATACGAAATTTTCAAATCAATACGGTTTTTTTGGACTAATGTTATTGCGAAACCTCTTACATTATTATTGAATTAACAAAAAAAATTAATAAGAAGGTTTTTCTTAAGTACGTAGGTTCTGAATTTTGCATCAATTTTACTTCAAGAGGCTGAGGACTATTGTTTAAAAATTACATTGTTTAAAGTTTAAATTTCTTACAAAACCAAGGGCAGTTTGGCTAAGATACAGAGCTTTTTGTAAGCAATTAAAAGGAACCTCCCTAGGCTGTAAATTAAAAGACTGTAAATTATGTTCCTCTCTATGTTCTCTTCAGTGGTTGTTACTTCACTCAAAACTCTTTTCAATGATTGCCTGATAATTCATGTTTTTAATAGATAAAGGCGCCACAAGTTAAATAGTTTTACCAATGTTTTACCCTTCAAAAATAATTTATTGAAGTTTTTGATATCCAAATAACTAAATACTTTTGTATCTTAGTAAAAAACTGTGTAATGTGTGTTTGTGTGATTTTTTTTTAATTTATCAATTCAAAACTGGTCAAATGTCGTTACATTTGATCATGTTACGTCACCACGTTTGGTTATTAAAACAATTTAATTTGTTGTAGATTCAACATTTTTCTTAACAAAGAATTTAACACTAATAAGGTTTAAATTACCTGGCTTCTGTCATCGATCCTAGGTAGTTTTATGAAACTACAGCTGTTTCATGCCTATTACTGGCACATCCTCAGGTTTGTTGAACGCCAGCTTCTTTATAAAACATCCCTCGTTGTAGAGTGCGTCATGGTTTAAAGATACAGAGCGTGCGTCATGGGACATCATGAAAAAAAGAATTTAAGGTTAAAACGTCTATAATGATCGCCAAATAACTTTTTTAATATTTGACGGAGAACAGTTAAATAGTTTGACACTATAAACCTACCATGGAAAACTCTTCATAAAATAATTGATTCATAATTGAATAGGATAATTGATGTCACAACGATAAACGGATGATTCGGTCCAAAATCGATCCATTTTAGTATTGACTACCAAACTTTGTATTTGAAGGCAAACTCTTTAACCACTTGAACTCAAACAAAGTAGCTTAACCAAATTTTGCTAATCTCCTATAATAGTAGACCTAAACTTTGGTGCACAAAAATATAGCTATAAAGTTTTAAATAACATTATCTTCTACTCACAAATATTTTAGGGTCGCGACAAAGATAAAGAAGTGTCTTTGATTGTTGGGAATCCCACCTATTGTTGAGTTGAAGTTGAATTATGGAAATAATGACGTCATTGTATTAAACGTGACGTGCATGCCACAGCTGTCTATTGTTCAACTAACATAAGGAGATAACATATTCTGGATGAGTAACTGTATCTACAGCGCCATTCGCTTTCACTACCCTATTATAGCAGTGCTTATGGTACATCCTTCTATAGGAATATTCTATAGGATTTTCCATCCCATAAAACTTTCTTACTATTAAAGATTGTAGAGTTAAGTATTTCACTCATTTCTATTATTTTGGAGTAGTCCTATTAAAATATATAAATTATATTTAAAAAGAATAAAAGAATAACATTTTAAGGTGAAAACGATGTATCTCATAACAATCCTTAAAACCGTTACAATAGTGTCATTATGACAAATTTGTCCTATTATAGTTTAATTTCAATAAACTAAAGTTTACAATACGATTATGATATTATTTATTAGTACTTAATGCTAGTAATCCCACCCACAATTACAATAAAAATAAATTCTTAATTTTTTATAGTACCAAACAGGTTTTCATATTATGACAGACTAAGTGTAGTAATCTATCATTCAAGTCTCATTAAGAAATCAAATTAAAATTGAAGTAGCGTCTATTAATGATTATACAGAAATAATAATCAAAAGTAAAAGCTACAACCAATGTTTTATATTTAATTGTATTATTTATAAAACTTGTAATTTTTTCTCTCCATTCGAATGTTCTAAAATATATATCCTTTTAACCAATTAAAAACTGACAATACATTTTCAAATATCTTATCATTAGTACAATTGTGTATAATTTGTAATGTTATCTCTAAAAAAGACGACCCTATAATAATTGTAGCTCTGTTTGATGTACTCTCATTAAAATCTGCTTTTATAATAAAAAAGTGATGACTAAATTAAGTAATCCTCTATCGTATTAAAACTATGAAAAATCCTTTGTTAACTTTTTTAAGTACCAAACATTTAGCCTTGTGAAAGCTTTATATAGCTTTTGTCTGCTGGAATTAAAGTTAAATCAAGTTAGACCAAAGCAGTGACACTGGGAGGTTTTGCTGTCAACTGTTGTTTATCTCTTTTACACTAACTTTTGAACGACGCCTGCATGAAAATACTAGTTGTCCAAACTAACTCTTTACTTTCAGAATGCACACGGTTGTATATAAAATTCCGTCATAATTATTTACTAACTTTATTTTTTAATTTCGTTATATAGGACCTTAAACCGTTAAAGAGGAAGAACAAAATTTGACTTGCTACATGTTATTTCATTTTATAATTTGTTTAGAATATTTATTTCGGAACACGATATTCTCATGTTATTTTTAA